GCTTTACCTGCAGCCCAGGATGTTGTTGGCCCTCTGGGCTGCCAGTGCCCGTTGCTGGCTCATGTCCAGCTTTTCATCCACAAAGACTGTATGTTCGTTGCAGTGCTACTTACAATAGCAGATGATCACTTGTAATTTGGAGGGGGCATATTTTGAAGCAGTGAGAGATGCAAACATCCCAGTATGAACTTTGGCTGAAACTAAACAGGGAATGGTAATGATGGTAAAATCTACCATAAAAGTAGGGTCTTTGCTTCTTTTTCCTCTACAGGTTTCCAACACTACTATTATCAAACCACACAACTTTATAAGAAAACAGAATGCTTTTAGGATCCTGTGTCTTTAGCTGCTATGCTGAGGAGACGCATAGATACTGCTCATTAAAATTATGGATGCACTTTATCCTCCCCTAAGTTGTCCCTTGCAGTCTTCATTTAAATCCTTAAATTGATTCTTAACCCCACAACATGGGAAGCACTTTCTTGGAGAGAATTCCTAATCGTAGAGGAAAATGTGTCTCTCCTGCCGTACCGAGCAAGAGGAGGGTCTCCCAGTCCCACGAGAGCACTTGGGTCAGGGAGAGGGGGCACAGCTCCTTCAAGCAGGCATGCCCTCAAGAGCTGAAGGTAGTATCACACTGTAAGTATGTACCCGTGTTGTAGCTACCAGTGGACACTGAGACTCCCAGTTACAAAGGACTTGAAACCTGTGCAGAGAGATCTCACATAGCACAAGATGTTCAGTTGCAGACCCTCTTGTGTTTCTTTTCAACCATGTTCTAATGTCCGTTTTAAAACACAGCGAAAGTGATAAATAAAATATATAAAAGATGAATAGATTTAATGCTTTGGGTTTTTGCCCTTTTTTTGTCGTCTTTTTTTTTTTTAATGCTTAATGGTTTCAACATTTGTTTTTTTGGAAACTGGGTCTTCAATGCATGCAATGTTTTATGCCTGTAAAGAATAGCTGTTTGAAGTGAAAAGAGAACGCCGAACAAAACCAAATCACTGCCCCCTGGCCTGCTTGATCTAGGCCCAATTTTCCTGCATTTCAATCATATTAAGTTCCACTCACAGAAGTTTAAAATATCAGTTAACTCAAGATAAGTCCCATTAGATAGGGCAGACACTGGATTCTCCTGACTGTTTGACTCTTGTTGAAATGTACCTGTAACTGATTGCAAGATAACTACTGTTAAAAGCAGGGCATACTGGCATTGTTTGGAAAAAAATGTTTTATAAACAAAAAAAGAAATTTGTATTTTTAATTCAGTCATACCCTGTATTTCCAATTCAGATGTCTTTAGTTTTATTCCAAATGCACTGAACAAACATTACTGAAATAACTCTGCCAGGACCCCATCAGCAAAGACTGGATTTTTTCCATATGGAATAAATATTGGTATCATTTTCCATATGGCTTTGCTTACTTTTAGTTCTAAATATGAAAACATCGCAAACAGAAACAGGCATAGAAGAGTTATCGAATCCTGTTAGAGCCAAAACCTGGACACAAATGTAACACCATAAGGCAAACAGGTTTGGACTCAAAATGAAATTCCAAGATTCCAAGTGCTATAGGAAGCAGCTGCTAAACTCAAAACACATCACCGCATTTTCATCAAACCTTAGGGTTTGTTGTTTTGTTGTGTTGTTGTTGTCGTTGTTGTTGTTGCCTTTTAAAGTGTTCACAGAAAATTAATTTGCCATTTTGGCAGCCCTGATGTGTAAAGCCTGGGCAAAAGAGCAACTGTAAGCATTGAAAGGCTACTTCCCACTCCCAACTCCCATCATGTCAAGAACAACTATGTTCCTGACACTCAGCCAAGCAGCTGTATTTCAAAAAGGTTCTGTTTCATTCCTAATTTGGAAACAAAGGACACTGCTTTGTAATGTATTATTTGCATTACCCTAATAATCTAGAAACCAGATCATGTGCTAGTACATACAAAAACTGCAATTTGGCTGTATCATCCCATATTACGCTTTTTTTATTAAAAGACCTTTGCTTCATGGGAGTAAAGTGCCAGTGAAACATTTCAAGCAAGACAAAAATTTCATGTTACATGGAAGTAAAGGGAAAGAAAGAGTTTTGGCTTCAAACTGTGTGCTGTCTGGCTGTTTGTGCTTCATGCGACACGTGGCAATTTACAGACTGATCAGACAGCTACCTCTAGCTCAGGACAAATCAGTTTGGTAGATTGCTCTCAATTCTGACAGATACTCAGTAACTGCAGTGGCAAGTAAGATGCCTCCAACTTCACTGCACTCCACAGTTTTTACAATGCTGTTTTACTCCAATAGGAGTATCCCTTACTTGCACAGTTGCTTCTTCAGAGTTGTTTTCATTGTGCTTGAGAAAGACCTAGGAGCGGGGAGAGAAACTGCTCCTCGTATAAAGTCCTGATTCACTTTCATCACTCTTCTGTATTGTGTTGTAGTATGTAGTAAACATATGGAGGAAGGACAGAGGGGCCAGATGTCTCTGCAGCCAGCTTGTTAGACACCATATCAAAGTTATTACCAAAATAATATTTAAATGAACTTACCAGTAGAGAAAATAAGAACTGTGTTGTCCCAAAGACCATATCTTTTCAGAGCATCAGTAAGATTTCCTACAGCTTCATCCATAAGAGTCACCATGCCTGCATAATGGCGCCTCTTTACATCTTTAATGGAAGAATATGGTTTCATGTATTCTTCAGGGACCTCAAGAGGTTCATGGACAGACTGAAAAGCGAGGTAGAGAAAGAGGGGCTGGGGTGGAAGGGATAGAATGTAAATTAGTTGAATATAAAGTACTAAATGTAAAAGCTGCTGCAGCAAAAGCAGCCCTAATTCATCAACAGCTGGAGGCACTGTGTTTTGATTTCTTTTACACTTCTCTCTTCTAATCCCTAAACATAAACTAATAAAACTTTGACAAAGGACTTCTGCAAAGCTGTGGAAAAACCTCATGTGTACCTTTTCTTCATAACACAGTTGTTAACAGTTTCTTGCTACGAAACTTCTCCCATTGAACCTTCCATTCTCCTTTTAGAAAAGCAAACTACATGCTAAATCATTTCTATAAACTCATTACTTGTGTTATTAAAAAAGAAACGGAGAAGGGTAGCAGGTCATGGCTGTGCAGCCAAAGCTGATTCTGACAGGAGACAAGGCAAGTTTCACCAGCGCTACTTCTCACGTTTAGCTCTACACACCCTGCTGAAGAGGCACAGATTAGTGCAGGTCTCTCCATTACTATTTCAGTAACATTTTTTAAACATTCTTTAGCGCTAAAGTTATCAAAGTAACAGCTGCTGGCTGTACCTTCTCAGTTCTATGATTGGCTATAAGATCTATAGCTCTTTCTGTGAATAAATTAGTAGAATACAAGTTTTTAAACCCGGTTGCAACTTCTTCTCCGTCTCGAAAGTCCAGAGCGCAGCGTGTTACGTTCTTTGCTTTGATGAGGACACAACGGTCATGAGAATAATAATCCTCACTCCCCAGAAGATAGCCTAGAACCAGAAAAGATGTCAAATAAGCAGGCCAACATAATGTCATATAAACAGATCCATCAGGGGAAAAAGAAGTCAAAAACAAATGTCAAAACTTTAGTGGTTTTGAGCTGAAGCACTCATCCAACTTTAGACCATATGTAGTGGCATCCCCTGACAGCTCTAAGTAGCTCAATATTTAATACTTCATACACTTTTTATTGCCAATGCAAGTAGTAATTTCAAAACACAACATTTTGAAAGCAGTCTGATGACTTTACATTCGTAACTTGATATCAAATAGATTACCATTAAACTAATGTGCTGATATCAAAGGCAGTGACCTACCCATACACTACTCTGATTTTTAGCTGGTATGATTTTCTATATTTGTATTTTCAAGTACAACTTCTCTCTATACTAGAAAGTTCAGATTTTTTTTCCTTTATTCAAGAACATTCCAGTGTGAAGCATTTGTCAGCTGCAAAGCAACTTCTGATCCACTGCTGACACCAACTGGTGAAAAAAAGGCACTATTATTTAAAGATGCTCAAACAAAACTGCAAAAAATTCTAGAGGTATAGATTTGCTCCCATCAAGGGCTATCCTGGTAAGCATTGAGTGTCTTTGCTTTCTATTGACCAGAAATTAATTTCTTCAAAATTTTTTTGCATCTCAGTAATTATTACTTTGGAAATGAGATTTCAGATTTATTCCCCAATACCCTGAAAAAACAGATGAATCTGCAAAAATATAGTCTTCAGTTTTGCAAAACCAAACTAAAATTGGGGACAAAAATGCAAAATGGAGGAATTCACTTGAATTTTTATTCAGCACCTTCAAGTATAGTTACTTGTGCAAAAATATATACAGAAAGAATTGAGTTCTGTTTTAAATAAAATATAAACTTCTAATACATTTTTTAGGAGGAAAAAATGGCTTTTATTTCAAAGCATAAGGAGAGATTTTGTGGGCAGACTACCTGTATCGGTGTACTCAGAGCCGCAAGTCGCATTTTTCCATTTTGAGTGCCCAGTGGGGGAGACACAGCGTCAACTTTGCTGAAGAATCAAATGCCCCTTAATTGCAATCAACACCTACTGAAATTACATGAACATTACAGGATATTAAGCTGCTACATTCTCTAAAAAGTAATACCATGCTGGGTATCCAACAACCATGCCCAGAGCCAGCCTGGACTAATGCCCCTGCATTAAGAGCCTGCTTGGTCCCAGGGTGAAATGCCACGAGGAACGCCAGCCTGTCTACATCCATGCCGTCAAGAAGATCCCAAGCGCCTGTGAAGGGATTGGAGGAGGCCTATATGTTTAAGCAACAAGACATTCTACTACAATCCATATATATTATTGACAACCATTCAGCTGTGAAATCACATCCCCACGGTCCCTGAAAAGTCAAGAGAGACAAACAATCTAAGGGAACAGTTCTTTCCACCTGAAGTTTGGATCGCCACTGCCTATAATGGGCACGTAGCACGGCCGGGCTCTTCATTTAAGTACCTGAAGTTAGACAAGAGGAACGTGGACTCCTTCTTAAGTTTCTCTGCATCTTACTTTCTCAGCTGTAGAAGTGGGCAGCAGTACTATCAACAGCTTGCAAAGTTATTTTAGAGAAGATGAACTGTTTTGAAATTCTTCACTCAACTGAAGTGTCTTAAAAACAACCAAATGGAGATGGACAACTTTGCATTCAGTACCACATGGAACGAGATGTACTGCAGGCAGCCCGATTCACATAGTATCTGCGGCGCTGGTGCAAAACGGGTAGAAGTCCAATCAATATTGGGACACAAGCCTTTGTCGAGGAAGAATAAACAACGTGTAGCTGAAAGTTGCTTTGTAAGACACTCACACTTGGGCAATCTAATTTTGGTATTGTTTTTTTAATCTGAGGATTTTACGTCAAAACTTGTGAGTTCCTGCAACAGACCTTTTTGATACTGTTTTACAGAGGCTCTCACACCAGGTTCCTTGCCACAGGCTCTGGACAACCAATGCTACTCTATTCACAAAGCATGAACACAGTGTGGTATGACATCTGTTTCTCCCTTAAAAATATCAGCTCTTAGAAGTGTAGCGTTATTTGCAAAGCAAGCAATGTCTGCTCTCTGATCTAACACAAAACGTTCAGATTAAAGACACTTACAAAATCAAACTGATCACTACACCTTGAATCTTCTGACCATCATGGAACCAAATTAAATGCAGATCACAAGAGAGAAATACTTTCTTTAGAACCACTCAATAATCATGGTATTTTCTTCAATAAGTTGTAAGGCTTGGGCATGCATTTAAGGCACTATCTTATTTTAAGCAGTTATACTTTGGAAACATGTATGCCCAGGTATTGATTTACTTATACACTAATAGTATATCTGCTGTTCTTAGAAGAATCAGGCAGTTTCTCATCATTTTTAACATCAGATTTGTTGCCCATGTTAAATCTAACCATTACCGAAGTAAGTATGAAATCCTCTGCGGGTTGGAAGGCATTCTTTCCGGTACATCCCTAAATGCCACTTCCCCACCATGTGAGTAACGTATCCCGCCTCTTGAAGCAGCTCTGGGAGGAGTTTCTCATCCAGCGGCATGCAGCTGGGCTGGCACGGCCAGATTATCTGGTGTTGTAAACCTGTGTGGATCTAGCAGAGAAATGAAGGATGCGAGATTAGTTACAACACAGCAACACGTTCCTGCAGGTTACTTTACAAGCAGGTGCAAGAAGAAGCAAAGCTACACCAGAGGATAGCATTCATTTTAGGGCGTCCCGTCCTCACTGATGTAGCACGAAGGAAGATGAGGAAGCCACGTCAGGGGACAAGGGGAGTACGAAAGAAGACAAGGACATGGCACCGCAGGGGGCTACAAGATCTTCCCAGGCATAAACCTAGTGCAATAAAAAAACCCAACCAAACAAACAACAAAGCCTTTTGCACTTTCATCTAAAAATCTAACAGGTAACAATTACCACTACGGTGTCTTTGAAGGCCAGGAACAACATCTAAACATGGAGTGAGAGATTTTAAGTGGGATGGAGACGGGCAAAAAGGCACATAGCAGGTGACTCTACCGAGCTTTTGCCTGTACCAGAGAAGAGTCACCGGAGGGAAAGGTGACAAAGGCTATGGGAGTGCTTTTTGCTTACTCTTCTATATGTACATACACACATACCATATTTATTTGCATGCTTAAAGTCAGTACGAGCACTTCCATAAAAAAAGCATTTGGACACTGCCTATAGATCGGGCCCCTAATAGTCCCACCTAAGTTTCAGATCTTAACAAGTGGTGAATTTTGTATCTCTTTACAAAAACATGACTGGTAATGACACTCCAAGTGCTACATTTTGCTTCATGCAAGAAACCTCCTCAGTTACTGTGTACTCTAAGTTGACTTTTCTCAACTCCCCTATCTCCTCCAGAAAAAAAAAATGCACTACCCTAAATTTAGGCCAGCGAACATACACGTACAAGTGTAAATACCTTATTTATTAACTAAATATTTCTAATCCTCCTCTGTCAAAGCACAAAACCTCCAAGACCCCCTAGAGCACAACACATCAGACTTTGTAACTTCACCAAGCACTCCAGTGTAGCAAGTTGCATGATTAGTTTTTAAAGCATCACTTTAGCAACACTTCGAACTCAGTTTTAAACCAAATTAGCCCTGATCTTAGTCAAGTGGGTACATAGACTCTCACAAAGGGCCTACTAGTTACTCATTTTCTCTGAAACAGGAGCTGGAAAAAAATTTTCTTTTTCTTAAATGCAGTACTACAAAAAGATTATTAATTTAGTGAAAGACACAAGCAGGCAAAGCATTGTCATGATTTTCACTATCTCTAGAAAGCAAGGTGAGGAAAATAATTTTTAAAAAATCTATAGTTCATAGGATTCAAATCATATAGTTCATAGATTAAAAAAAAGTCTGTACGGTTCATAAACCAACACCTTTGCTCTTCTTTCTTTATGGACTGCAAGATGACTATCAAAACTTCACCTCCAGACAGGACCAGATTTAGGTTACTTCTTCAAATCTCTGAGTGACTGTTCATCATACCAATGGGTAAACCAAAACAAAATCCCACGTATTTGCTACATAATTATTTCCTGCACACAACGTCTCCTCAATTTTATAGAAAAATTACTTCCATTTTCTAATACTATTTTACTCATTTGTAACAAGATCAACATGATTAAATTATCAAGTCAGGTGTGTACGATGAATTTAAATCAGAACTGAACTATGAACAATTTCCACTTCAGAGATCAGATGCAGCACTGCCCATTACTGTGCTGACGCCTTCCTGGACAAGCACATTCAGAGTATGAACTGTATTCTAGAAATGGTCAAAGTGAAAAAATGTTTTAGGTTATTTACATAAAACAATTTAAAGAATTGGTTAAAAAGAAAAAAGCCAATTATATCTTCCTCTTCTTTATTATTGAGTCTTGCAGTTTCTAGAAGCAGAATAAACGTTGCCCGGAAAAAGTATTACCTGGAACAACACTCCTGCGACGACAAGGGAGAACATCCACTAATACAGGATGACGTTTATTTTCATTCTGAACAGTTTCTTTGACAAATCAGTATGGTTAACATGCATGTGCAGGAGAGAGGGGAAGTGTTTGAAATTGTCTTAACCCTTTCTGAGTTTTTCTTTTCTGTCCGTGCCGTCCCCTCTGCCTCATTTTTGCCAAAGTTGCAATAAAAAGAAGGGGGAGGGGAGTGTTGTACAGCAGTATGATAAAGTCCAATTCTTATACCTGTGCGACTGAAAAAAAGAGGAAAATCATGCCGAGGGCTGTGACGCAGCTAGACACCCTGCCTAAGGCTCGGTCTGTGCGCGCTCCATCGAGGGGTGCACACATGCCCACCCCCGCGTTACCGCACGAAGTAGAACGTAGAGGTTAGGACGCGTTTAAGCGCTGCGACCGGGAACAAGCTGCCTCACCGGCCACACACACCGTGCCCGCCCGCTTCTGGCTGCGCCTTGACCGCCTGCCTGCCC